GTGCTAAGTTCTTGAAATGATACAACATATTCTGTTAACCATTAAAAAAGCTCTGCATGATTAACTCCATATTTGAACACTCAGGATAAAAATAATTTGCACCTTTCCCCAGGTGCTTCATCTGTCAGGGACAGAAAAATATATTTCATTGCTTGTCTTCCAGTAGGAGACCTGCAATGATTTATTAAATTATAGCAGGTCTCACCTGATGCTATGTTTCTAGCTGGCAAATATATGGAAGATGAAATGAGATAAAAAGTTTACCTACTGAGGTTTTGCCTGGAACTATAATTAAATCTGTGGGTTGTTAGAATCTGGACTGTCCTAGAATCATGTGTTGTATGACAGCTTGAGAGATTTTCAAGCAGCTAAGCAGGAAATCTGAACTAAAATTGCAGGAATTTATTCATTTAAGATGAAGAATTTGCAATATAGGCTTTTCTGTTTCAATGCTTACATAGATCTGAAGAATATTTTCTGACGCTGATATGATAAAACATTACATTCTTTAATCCTCAGGTTTGTTTGTCCTCAAACTGTGTCAATGTTCTATGTTGTATCAGGGACATGGTTTAAGTGGTGCACTTGACAGTGCTAGGTTAATGGTTACACTCAACGACCTTAGAAGTGTTTTTCACTGAAATGATTCAGTGATTCTATGATTCTATGTATATTTGCCAAACATGGGCTTAACTGTATCCAAGCCTGACATCTGAAAATGTGGTGAAAGCTATTTTAAGTCTTCCTTTATTGCTAAAAAGGAGAGTTTCTTTAGGAACTGATTCTTCCCACCTTACAGCAGTAGTTAGGAGAACCTGCATTGTCAAGTAGTTCTCTCTTGGAAGTGAATGCAGAAGGACCTAAAATAGTGGATTTTAGAAGTCACCTGACATATAGATTGCTTTACATGTTAAGTTTACTTGTACCCAAAAGTTCCAGGTGCTAATGAATTCACAGAGCGAATCTTCCTCTTGCCTTCAGAAACTAGTCTGTTTCACATGTTAATATTGTCCCCAGAATAAATGGATCCCTTTAGAGGAATTGTACTCAGAGCTGTTGTACTCTTATTGAAGACAGCCATGTCCTTTCTGTTAATTGAAAACTGTCAATGACTTTGGTACAATATTATTTTTAGACTGGTAAATCCTTTCTTACTCACTCTGTCAAGAGTTTCATAGAGGACTTAATAGTAAAAAATCTCCTGTTCACGCGTGTATTACATCACTCTGGCTGGAGTACAGTGATCATTGCCAGGTCATGTATCTTTACAGTCTCTGAAAAATTGCTACTAATTTTTGTGAATATTCAGAAAAAAATGCACATTTCAGAGACAAAATGTGAGGGTTCTCACCCAATAGGGCAGAAAATCATTAAACTAAACTTCTGTCTTTGCAGATCGGTTTCAGGGAAACCTCTGTCCCCATCTTAATATGAGTAGGGATTCACAACTGGCATCACAGACTGTATTTCTTTTAGGAAATCATTATTTTCTTCCACTCTGAAGACCAAGTGTGGTCTGCACCCAACTTCAGAAGCCATGTCAGCTTCTGTTGTAATACTGCTGCAAATTCGTGCTTTAAGTTTTATTGCCATAACTTGCATTGGCTGCTACAGTTTTAGACATTAAAAATCAACTAGATCAGTTACAGCTTGGCTGATAATTCCTGAATAAATCTGACAATTTATTCTGGTGCTTGATAGAAAATTCTAGTGGTTTTAGGACAACTGCAATGCAAAATTATAGGATTTTTTTTCTACCTTTTCAATTCCCTTTTTTGTGTGCATTTTTTAATATTTGACTGAAATAAACCCTAAACCTATACAACTCCCCAAACCCATCAAGAATTAGTCCTGTTATTTTTGTCAATTGCTAGAACTTCAAACACTCAACCATGGAACCACCAGTCTTCACTCCTGTTAAGTCATATCCCTCGAAACATGGGTGTGCTAATAAGAAGAGATTTTGCTTCAGTCCTAAATGGATGTTTATTCTAGAGAATTGTAATGGTAATTCAATATTATCTTCTGACATAGTTAAAAATACTGACGTTCTTAAAAAAATATAATTTGAAATAGCTTATGAACTTTAAAAGCAGCAAGACAATTTTAGCTGATTGCTGACTGCAGCGTGGAAATTGCTGAGTCAAGTAATGACCTCTAGTTTCCTTTTACAAGAAAGTTTATTAGAGATTAACCTAATTTTGCAATGTTACTGTGGAAAAGACCATTTGACCTTCAAGCTTGCAACAGCAATATGCTTCCTTGTCTTTTCTGTTGTGTAATTAATAAATATTGTTTTTGCAGCATTTATATTTGGAAGAATTACTTCTTGCTTATGCAAGTAGTCTTTTCAGACCAGTTGAATTTATTGACTTAAATACTATTTTAGAAATCAAATACTGCGTGATTGAACTCCAAATATCAAATGCTTTTCTTAGTTTGGATCCTATATGTGATATAAATAAATTATATACTTTATGATAATTGAAACAATCTAACATTTTAAAATTTCCAGATTTCAAACCATATTTTCTCAGATTTCTGCACTGATTTTTGTGTTTTCTATGAAGAATTTTATATGTTGTTATTTTTGGTTGTTGAAAGAAACAAAAAAAATTACAATGTGACTTACTTCCTATTAATTTCAATCCAGCAAGATTACATCCCTAATTAAGGCAGAGGACAAAACTATAGGTGATGGGACACATCTTAAATATTTTTTTTTATGTGGCTTTAAAGAGTATGAAATTCTCTTGTGATCAGTGAAAATTAAATTTATGTGGTGGCTAGGCATAAGCACAAAATTAATTTTGTTGTCTAAATTCTATCTTGGAGCTTATAAAGGATGACAGAGCAAAGCAGTAGCCAAGTACTCTAATAAATCTCTTTTTAGGTTGTCACACTTTTATAGATGGCTTAGATTAATTTCCTGTTTCATGGTTGAGTATATACGAATTTTCCTTGCTCCATGACAATTTTTGTGATCTGTTACCACAAAGCACCACTTCTGTTCCAAGCACTTTTTCCTACATCTTCACTAGGGCATGCATGTGGAATAGCCTTCCATTCATTTGATTCTGACTGTTCTCTGTCCCACTAACTAACAGCTGTTAACATATCAGGCTCCAAAAACCTTGCTTAAAAGGGCTCATGGTTTTTCTTGTACTCTGAGTTAGACACATGGGAGAAACACCAACAAGATATCCTAAAGAGCTCAAAACAACCACAACAAAAATATACTGGCAACTTTAGAAAATCAAAGACCTTTGGCAAAAGATTTAGAGCAAAGAGAAAGACAGACAAGATATAGAAAAGAAAAAACATTACTAGCATTCCTGGTTCCAGCAGTGCTCAGCTGACAGAAATTCAAAGAGGAAGTAGGGTCAAGACACGTTCTTGCCTTGTGTTTCATGTTAAATACTCTTTGGCTTTCCTGGTTCCTTTCCCAAGATGGGATTTCTGGTCTGGTGGCCACTTAGGAGCTGGATGAAAGGTTTCAGATGTGGGATATGGAGCATTGTCTCCAAATGTGCCAGTGGCTGGGATACATTCCTGGGCTGGGGTGGGGTGTTTGGAGCAGTTCATTGCCTTACCGGAGCAAGGCCTGACCTGCCCCTGCCTTCAACCTGAAATAATTAAAGCCATCAATTCTTCCAGTCTCACACTGGAACAATTGGATTCAAAGATGCTGGCAAAAATTATTGCTTCTTATTTGGAGCTGGTCTGACATTGCAAAATCATAAGCTGCATTTCCCAAGGGTTTGAAGTCTAGCAAAATCATAAGTTGCATTTCCCATCCCAGCTGGGGACTGCAGATATATTTCAATATGGACACAAATATCTGGATGGAAAGTTATTTTTAGGAATATGTGACATTTTGTGGTCTGAGTGAAAAAGTGTATTTTTGGAGTTATTAGTTATCCAATTAATTTCAAGCCTTATGCTGAGAGGAAAGTTGAGGGCTACAATAAACAGTCAGAAGTAAAAAGAGAGCACATCTACCATAACAGGCTGCTACATCTGTGAGTGGAATACACTGGTGCCTGTGTGAGGGAGATTGTTGGATGATCTCTGATAATAGTGTTCCTCTCCTGGAAGTACTGAGGAAAATTAGAATAGGAAGTACCTCTAGAAGAGTCAAAAGGAATGAAATCCAGGGAAGAGGCATGAGGTGAACTTTTGGGAGCCAGGACTCTTGAAACAGGTATCAGTTGTCTAGAGCACATGCTCTAACAACATATTCTCCTCTCTATATTTTTTTTCTTTCTTTTTTCTTTCATCTTCATAGTAGGTTTTTTGTTTCTTTGTTTGTTTGTTGCAGTTGTTTTTTTGGTTTTTTGTTTGTATTTTTAATTGGGTGTGTGCTTTTAACGTTGGAAAATCTTGCAAGCTGAACTTTGTCAGTCACTGTTTGCATTAGGCTTCCTGGAACCCCCTAGTCACCTCTGCTATAATGTCAAGGTCACAGAATAGCAAGGTGAAAGAAGAAAGTGGAACCAGAAGTGATTTTGGATGACAAAAGGCAGAACTTCTCTGTCAGGGAAGCACCATCAGCCACAGTTGTCCTGAATTAAAAACTATCCAAATAGCAGAGGTCATTTTTTAAACTGTGATGCTCAATGAATTGACCCCCAAATTAGGTTGTAATGAAGTTGGATGAATATCCTGAGTGATAAATCAGCTTTTCAATGCCCATTAACATGTTGGTTTCATGTGGCTCCAAGCAGAGAGTGTTTAGGGACACATCTTCTCTACCTCAGTTTTTCCCACTCTGGTGGTCTTAGCACTTTTGTAGCCTTTGCTCTTCTGATTGCTTCACTCATCTTTGGTTTTAAGATTAGAGTTGATAGATAATGGCAGAAATACAGCATACTAACATATACAGGGTCTTGGGATCTATCTTGAGATCTTGAGGATCTTGAGAACTATCACGACTAATTACTTTCTTTCTAGAGACTTTATGTACAGATGCTTCCCAAATATGATTTCTTGTCCATCAGCTAGTACCTGAAAGAACCAAAGAACCAAGAAGTACTAGAGCCTGTGCTGAGGAGAACCCTTTGTCAGACACAAGGAGCAGAAGGAGAGCTTGTGGACATGGAGGGAGACTGGGCCTTCCATGGTAACGGACTGCTCCAAATCCACTGAGGCCTTTCCAGGTACAATACTTAAGCAAGGCAATACTACTCCTGATGCAGGTGCACTGAGAAGGTAGAGAGTGAGGAAAAAGATAATGGAAGTGGAATTTTCATTTGGGATGTCTTCAATTCTGCACTTCCAGCTTCACTTCTTGCTGTAGGCACTGCCAATAAGAAGCAATCTGAGTACCAGGAGAGATGGCAACTCCTCCAAGGGTCAGAACTGATTGATTTTGCTATCTGTTCAATTCATACTAAATTTGTATTGATATGTGATCTAGTAAGGGACAGAACTGATACAACAATTCCCTGAGTGTTTCCTAATATGAGCTAACAGAGAAATGTACCACAAATATCTCATTTGCATTTAAAAATTGGTTGCTGGAAGAAGAACAGAGAAAGTAAGCTTGCTGGAGATTCTCTGTATGCAATAACCTTGTAGTTGCAGGATTCTGATTCCTCTTTGTTATTTCTGAGAATAATATACTTGCTAGGTGTTTTGGGTTTTTTTGTTTGTTTGTGTGGTTTTTTTTGTGTGTTGCTGTTTTCACACTCAATTTTATTTCTGACAGGACACTGACAGAAATAACGCAGCATCAGTTGGCATGACAGAAGGTAATTAAATGTGTTTTTGGAATTACCTGTAAGGGCTGGAAGCATCATCTTAGTGAAGAATACAAGTATTAAATGAAGGAATATGTGATGTACTATTTATATTTGTCTTTGTAGTTTGTGGAGTAACTTGATATAAGGAAGCAATTTCTGTTTTTGCAACCCCCTTCTCAAAACATTGTAAAACTTTTCAGTCCTTGGTACATAGGTCTAGATATTGCTGATAAAAAACAGAGGGCAATTTTAATGAGAAGAAATCATAAATCTAGGATTTAGCTACCAAGAAAACAGATCAGAAGATAAAGGACAGCCAGGCTGTTTCTAGTTTAGCTAGACTTAACAGAAAATAAAAACACAAAACACTCTGTTCTTTGCCAGGTATCTTTGTCATGAAAATACCATTCTGAATTAAAGGAGAGTGTTTTGAATAAAAGAGTATTTTAACTCCCATGAGAAATTGTGCAGGTACCAAGTCTGAGGACAGCCATTGTCCCAATAATGATTTTGCCCAGTTCCATTCCTTTGGAGTGAGTCTGTTGCAAAATTTTTGCTGTATTTCTGGGTATGGGTGTTAAAAAGGCTGTGCCTTCTCTTTGTCTCTTCCTCAGCTCAGAAAAGAACAGTGATTCCATCCTTTTCCTTTAACTTAAAGTATCCTGTTATAGTTCAAGGACTCTGTCAGGAGTTTCTAATTGATATCATGACAGAAATATTATGAAGTGCTTCAATGTCCAAATCTACTATGAACTGACAGGACTGTTATTTGTGCCTACAAATATGAATCATAAAGCCACATAATCAGACAAAGATGGGAATGTTATATGATGTAACTGTGCAGAAGTTCCTCCACTGACAGACAGAGACTTAAGGAATAACACACTGGGGAGTGTGTGAGGTGTTTGAGGAGGGAGAGAGAGGAAAGACACAGAATTCTGGGGATATGCCATGGGCATTGTGCTCTCCTGGCCACCACGGATCACTCCTCTGGGATTTTTTATGTTTCCCCTCACCCCCCCAGTATTTCTTTTTAGTATGGTAGAGAAAGAATGCAGAGAAATAGGCTACCATGAGCGTTTTTTAAAATGTAAATGTAAATTAATGGGAAATCATATTTGTTTTAGAAGCCTTAATGTAGTGTGTTATATAGCTACCTTATGGCCCTGCTTATGAAATTCTAAGTGCAAACTGCTGATATTGTGGACTGTATGAAAAAGGGCATGTTCCAGTGAGGCAGCAGTCACTGAGGGGGGTGGAGTCCCCATGTCCCCATTCTGTGAAGGCAGATGTGCAAGTCTGCTGGGAGAAACAGCAATACTTTCTTTCTGGGCCCAGGGAAGCTTCAGAGCCCAGATGCCCTCTAAACCACAAAAAACCCAACCAAATAAACAAGACCAACCAATCAGAAAATGCCCAGGCTGAGGACCATGCAGCAGGACTGCTTTAATCTGTCAGAAGGACAACAACTTTTAACCTGAGCAGGAACATTTTTGCTAATAAAAGTAATGACAGGTCATGTGGGCTGGATTGCAAGACTTAGTAGTGAATTCTGGTCAGCTGTTTTTTGGGTTTACTTTTTTAAATGGAAGTATAATTCATTTTTAACTGTTTCATAGGTAGCTGTTTCATAGCTGTTTCAAAGCCTAAACACAGGTATAGTACTTGAGATACAGTAACACATAATGGGATTTAAAAAATAGATGCCATTGAAGCTGAGAATGAGGGAACAGCAACCCACTAAATAAATTGAGGAAAATTACTATTATTATTAGTATTAGAACATAAGCAGTGTCTTCAGTAAGTCAACATTTTTTGTCACTTCTAGGTGGTCCCAGGCCAGTTTCTTAGACAACTTTAATAATCAGTAATGTTAGTGGGAACTGTATTGATTGATGAATTCTGTGGATTTGTTTCTTTCCTATTCTGCTATGAAAAACTGAATACATCTCCAGTTAAATCAACAGAGTGACAAAAGGTTGTTTTTTTTTTTCACTATTTCTTCTTCACTCTCTGCTGACAGTGAATTCCCAGAAAAATAACACAGTATAGTATGCCTGAAACCAATATTGTTAACATCTAGGGAATCTGTTCCATTCCTTTCCCATTGGCAAAACCTGTCTATTGGATCAAGCTTGTAACTTAAGAGAGGGATATAATGTAACTGTGAATGCCTGCTGAGTTGTACTAACTCTTGTTTTGCTTGCTAGCGGGAGAGTTGGCTTTTATAAACAAAGATATTTTTCATTACTTCATTGTCTTCATTTTTGCATATGGCTTCATTTTCCTGCAGTCTCAGTTATAAAATCTAGGAGATTCTATGGTCACTTGCCAGATGATATTCACTTCCATCATGAACAACAAATACATTAGGAAAACAAATTTGGAAATGTCTTAAATGCCAACATTATTTTTCTGCATTATTGCTCCTACTTATGTATTACCTAATTTAACTCAAGTAATACCTAGAGACAGGCTTGTGTGCTTATGTATTACCTAATTTAACTCAAGTAATACCTAGAGACAGGCTTAGGCACAGGAGAGTGATGCTGAACACTGAGTGATGTGTGTAGTATTCTCTGACACCCCTAACAAAGCCCACTTCTTTCTGAAATTCTAATACAATAATTTCTGCTCTTCCCCATCCTCCCAGGGAGACATTCTGATATTGTGCTGTCTCTTATCCCCATCTTGAGCCCTCAGAGGCTCCCTCAAGCTTTCTCAGCTCTTTTCTTTACCCTGACTTCCACTGAACTATTCCAACCTGCTAAAACTCTCACCAACATTTCCCAGACTCCTGCCCAACTCCAGGACTTCCTCGACACCTCTCAGATACTTGTAAAAAAAATACTGTGCTGCTGAGGAGGAGAGTAATTCTGTTCAGGTATCAGATTTAAAGAGCAATATACTGGAATGTATAAACTTGGATGGAATAACAGTTTGAAGATTGCAGGAAATACTAAATTTTCTACCTGGCTTTTATTAATTGAACGCATAAGACAAAGGAATTCTACTGGGAGTTACAATAGCTATTGCCATACCAAAAACTAGAAAATGGAATTTGTTTTACTGTTCAATAGGACATATATATATATTTGCCTGCATCAGAAGAGACTCCTTACTTAAAGACTTGTAGCCAGAATCACCCTAAGAAGCAGAAGTCAATACCCAGCTAATTTTCAAGTCTTATAATGTGATAAGGCAAATTATTTTCACTGTGCTGAGGCCTCACAATGCTAATCAAGAGAAACATAAAGTATTTGTCTTGTACATAGTGCATTTGTTTTACACAATGGTCTGTCCACACTTTCGTGGTTTTGGTACCTGTTTTTAAACCCGTATTAAAATAACTAGTAATTCATGGGATTTTTAGACATTTTTCTCAGTGCAGCCACATGAAAATTTGTCTCATTCAGAAATGAGTTAAATTGTAACATAAAATGGAGAGCGATATTCTAAACAGTAAAGCCCCATTATTACTTTTCATTTGAATTCCTCCACAAATTATATCAGAAAAGAGAGTTCAGAAGGATGCCTACTTTTAAAGTGGCTTTCTTCTATGCTTTACATCAGAGAAGCTGTAGTTACAATATTTTGTCCTTTCTCTGTACCTGTTGCAAGAAAATTTCTGAGTTGTAGACTTGAAACCCAATCTAATCCAAACAAAGAGGCAGAATGGCCCTTTAACAGCATTTCATTGCCCTGGAATGACAGTGAAGGCACTGTGTCTACCTAAAACTGCAGTTGAGTGCATTTCAGAAAGTATGTCAGTTTTTTACTCAATATTCTGCCTTTATTTTTAAAACCCTCCAGTATACCAAGTGCAGCCACATCCTGCAGGAAAGTACTTGGATATGAATTTGAGTTTCATTTCTGGGGAATGCAAAGAAAAAATGGGTATGAAACGACTGAAAAGAATAGTATGATGGATTCATCTTTTGCCTTTAAATATCTTTATATTGATAAGAATTTTCTCAGTGTCTGTGAGGAAACAGTCTTGGCTTTTGGAGAAAATATGGCTTAGATGTCTCCCTCCTAAACCTATTGTTATACTCCAAGTTGCTGATGCAAAGCATGGGCAGCAGCAGAGTTTTCTGTGGAAAAGTCCAAGAGTCAAATTGTTGTAGGATTTTCAGATACCATTTCTAACCATTGGTAAGATTTTATTTGATCCTAATTTGTGCTTTGTTCACAGAAAGAGTACATTCAAGAATTCAGTTAATCATTCCATGAAAATGTCAACACAGGAGATGACAGATAGGACAAAAACACCTATTGGTCTTTCAACTTTGCTTGATTGACTAGTTACCTGCAGCTTTGAATATGGACTAGAATAAAGAATATTCACCTGGAATAGGAGTGCTTTGAGTAACTATGTGATACATCTAGGTTTCATACTGATGTGCACATTATATCTAAAAGACTCAATATAGTGGAAGTATTATTACTGACTCTGCAGTATTCCTTATTCAAACTGACATCAATTTCAGTGGGGATCTTTAACAAAAAATGACTCTTGCCAATCCAGTGCCCATTTTAGACCATTGCTATTACTCTATTGATTTTTGATTTTTATTTTTCTTTTGCTCTGTTTTAGTTTTGGTGGTTTTTGTTGCTTGTTTTTTAATTTTTTAAAACATTTTTTAAAGTAAACCTATCTCTTTTACTCTGCACAGGAACCCTATTTTGTAAGAAAAAAATTACTCTGAAGCAATTATTTTTGAAGTGCTAGAAGTGGCCCTGACTTTTCATGTCATGCATAATTTTGTTTGTTTTTATACAGATCCCCAGGAACTATTACAATTTTTATTCTCAGTCTTTCACTAAGCCAGAAAAATGAATGTGGGAACCATCACACTAAAGCAGATCAGTGCTCCACTGAGTCCATGTCACTGTCCAATCTCTAATTAAAACCAACTGGTTAAAACTGGTACACATAAAACTACAGATGATTGTGTTTAATGTCCACATCTTCTTGACTATTTGTTTCTGACCACATCTTAAAATCATAGCTAATGTTAGTCTCTGCTTTACAGCTGACAGCTGTAATTTAAACAGTCACTCTCTATGTGGCATTGTTTTCTTATTTTAGCTTTTCCATTAAAGATAATGTGAGAATGGATGTGGCAAAGAAATCAAAATGGTATTGAGCTTATTGTGTTTTCCCTAGACTTAGGAAATGATTAGTTACTGCATGCAGGTGCTCTCAGAGCACTAAAATATTCTAGACCTGCTGTCAGACCAGCAAACAGTAAAACACTGCTGGGTTTGTGATTAGACATCTTTGTCTAATCTGATTAGACTCTTACAGAACTAGATATGTATGTAATTGATATCATTCAGGTTTTAGTCACTTGATATGGCACACAGAAATTCCAAGAATGTGCACAAGATTGTGAGTGGGACTTGTAGAGTTCAAGTGCCTGTCCAAATGGCAATGGAACAGCTCTAGCATCTGTGCATGGTGTACCTGGTTCTATACATCACTGCAGTGCAAAATAGCTTGTCCAGGAGAACTGCAAATGACATTTCTGATCACCCTGAAGTGCCACGCCAGCTGCTGCTACACCAGAAGGTAATTAATCTATCTCCAGGGAATTAAGAGGAAAATCAAATGAAGATTGTTTCTATCTTCAGATACAAGAGTCCATGGAACATCTTTACATACAAAGATACTGGTGCCAGAGACGCTTATTTTGCCATCTACTGGTCCTCCTTTTACTTATAAAGAACATTTTTTTCTCTGTAGGTATTCTGTGTAGTAATTTGCAGAAGTTGTAAGTAGAAAAACAGTTATCATTTTCATTTTGTCTCTAATTTATAGCTATATATTATGTTTAATCCAGGGTAATAAGATGCTGCAATATTTTATTTTTAGTCATGCCATTATTGGTAATTATAACAGTGCACTGATAAGTGATCAAATATTAATGTCAGCATTTCATATTTATACACTGCCTGTACTTCCTAGATATTTTTATAAGATTGTGAGTTTGAAAAGTTTTCCATACTCTCCCTCAATAGAAAAAAGATCAACAATTTCCTTATATAATCTAGTAGGTAACCTGCTTTCTGACCTGGCTGAAAAGATAATTTATGCAGTCTTCTGACTGTCTCAGTAGGCCTGAAAAGAGAGGAAAAAAAAGAAAAGAGGGAAGGAAAGAGAATCCGAAGCCTGTTTCAAACATCAAATGCTAATTGCAGCTAAAGAAAAGCACCTGAATTTCTGCCACAAAGGGAGAAGAGTGTTGCCGGGAGCATTGCACTGACCATTTGACATTTCAGCTGTCGGCCCTGCAGCATATAATCATAGGGTGTATTTAAGTTCTCCAGCAATTGCAAGCCTACTAAAAATGTAGTATTCTGACAGCCATCAAGCTGAAGGAATGACAGGTAAAAAATACATATGAATATAAATTGCATGGTGCTTTTTGTTATAAAAAGTGATTGAGCTTGCATTTGAGTAAGTTTTTTTTTATTCTTCTTCTTTGAAATCCTTGAAGTCACTTGGTAGCAATAACACAGTGCAATTGTTTTATGAAGCTATTATGAGTATTTAGCTTCATAATGACTACCTGTGCACTAAGTAGACAGAAATTTTTTCACTGTTGCAGGATGAGAGTCTTTGTGCCTTTGAAAAACACATGCCTTTTGCCTCATGTTACACAGTTTCAGGGATGGTTGTAAGAGATTTGGAAATCCATAGCCATCTTTCTTGCCTATTCCATTTGAAGCTATAGCTGCTAAGAGCAATAACCTCTGCTTCTTCACATGATAACAATCCTGGAACAAATGTCTTTTACACAATGGTTTCCACATCAAAATCACTGAGTGATCTATGAGGCAAAGCCTAAAGAAATGGAATAAAATACCAGCTTGGTGTCATAGGATAGAATCCCATGTCACAGGCAAATAGCCATTGCTTACCTCCATGCTTGTGGAATTCTGTTGAAAGCTTATCTTCAAGTGCTAGAGTATTCAGGTAGATCCCTACCCAACACAATTGATACATAGGTATAATATGAAGTATAGTCATAATTTTACTAAGACAACAATAGTCCTCAGATCATACAATAATTTTACAGTTAAAAGTCTCGAGTAGACAACGCTATACAGGCAGAATCTTGGAAAATTGACTGAAAAATATTTTTAAGCCAATAAATCAGGAACAACTTTTCCATTGCAGTCTGAATCATAAATTGTCTTTCTCTGCAGTAAATACCTTCCTTGAAACCAGTTTTCTTCAGCTTCATCTCACCAGTGGCAAAGGGATGAGTTTGAACATCAGACATTAAGATCCTTTATTTCAATACTTGCAAAGATATAGCATAAAACAAAGCTGTGATACAAGTCAGTCTCAAATTTGGAGTACTGTGGACACAGCTAAATGGGATTCCTGAATGAAACCTAAAATAATGGATGTATTTATTCTTTCTGACTGAATATACATTGCTTACCTTGTATAACAGCTTGATTTTTGCTTTGAGCATTTTATTGGGTGTTGGAGGTGTAGTTTACACAGCTAAATATTAATTTCTGATTCATTTTGTTGGAAGCTGTATCTAAATAATGACACAGAAATGAAAGTTCTGTGTGCCTTTTGTATCCATTTAGAAAAGCACAGAAAACCTTGCTTGCAAACCTGATTTTGTATTAGGTGCATACACCTAAGTTTACTTGGAAATATTGTATAGTTTACAGCTAAAATAGTGTCTCCATAAGAAATTACTACTGCAAGATTTATGAGAATATCAGCCTCAAGGCATGCCAAAATGATGACTCAGGACCACCTACTGCAGCATTTTTCTTGAATAGTAAGAGGGTAATGAAACTCATCCACCCTTCAAGATATGCCTAATGCCAGGAGCACTCGAAGACTCAAGAAATTATGGAAGTATAGTATGAATTTAAGAAGACACATCTTGTGTTCTGATGTCAATAGGATCTTGAGAGCATTTACAGCAAGCACAGACCCAGGCTGAGGGCAGCTTCTGGGCTTGACTGTGGTATGAGATGTGTTCATTTTGTGTCATGGCCACAAAGCTTCTACAAACAAGGCTGAAATGGAGATATAAAAGGAATTTAAAGTTGTTTTTCTGATTAAAAAAAAAAAAAGACAGAAAGATGATATTAAATGCAGGGCAAGAGGCCACATACAATCCCATAGCTGAATATTCCTGAGGGGAAAAAGAGAAAGAAAAACAGACTGACATGAAGAGGTGCCCCTATATTAATCTTAAAGCAAAAATCTGTGGTGACTACTGATCTGAGATGGTTTATTCCCCATCTCTAGCTGTTAAGTTTACAGATCTCAGCTGGGCCCGTTTGGTATTTATCCTTTCTCTAGGGAGAGAAGGGAAAAAACAGAGTACAGACTTCCCAGTCTTTGAAAGCCCAAAATAATAGCTGTTACACTTCACATTGGCTGACCTTTGTGAGTGAGGACATGCCTCCAACTGGCTCAGATATTTTCTCAGTAGAGATGTCAGTGTGCTGCACATACTCCACGTTACTGAAGGAAGCTTTAGGCACTTCTTAGTAATCAGGAAGCAGCTTCCATTTTCATGAGAAGATTCCCTCCAAACTGCACCTGGTAAGTTCACTGTGTTTAAACTGTGTGACACTGCTAAACCTAAGAAATTGTGTTAGTTCATAAACTAAACATATGCTTTATTGCAGTAGTGCATCAAGAAATTGTGCCTTAAGACAATTCTTCAGATAACTCCGTAAGCATTATAAAATAATTACTTTAAAATATAAAAGCACAAGAAAATTGTTCCTTATGGCCTGTGCTACACACTTCATGACCAAGACTTTAACTGGATCTGGTCTAGCCATTTTCTTTCAACTTCAGAAATATGACAATGAATGTGACTTAAAAACTAGGATTGATTTTTTTCATGAGAGAATGCCTACTAAAAACACTTTTCACCATAACAGTGCATCAACCACTATTTTAAGGGCTGGGATCAAGTTTAACAAAGCTGTATCATAGACAGAAGAAGGGAAAAAGCATGATGAAAATTAAACCAAGTTCAAAGTAAAATTAAATTTCTTCCTACTCCAAAATGTTCTACTTATTGAGCCATATAAATACATCAAGGAAAAATGAAGGCAAATATTGAGGAAAGAAATACTATTTATAATCCTTCTTTGAATGATACTGAAGACTTACTATTTAGGTAGCAACAAGAAAACAATGTTCTATGGCCATGTAAAGCACCTAAATCAGTAGATGGATTGCAGAGTGTGGAAAGTAGTGGAAAACACATTCCCAGTATTTGCATAGTGATAGGCTATATTTTAGATCCCAGTCCACAAGAAGTTAAGAGAGGCTTGGAAGATCCATTTACATTTGCCTGGGATGGTATGAGTGAACTTTAGATAAAAATGCTGGGAGTTAAATGAACTGGAACCCTTTGAGTTGATTATATTCTATTTTGCAGCTGCTATATAGCCACCTTGTATCCATTTCCAAGTTCTGATGGCCAAGGCTGTGTGGTTCAAAATTATTTCTGTTCAAGACCTCTTCTACTGCAGTATTGATTTTAGTGAGCAGAATTAAAGG